TAATGTATCACTGTGTCTGGATTTGTAGCTAATGGAATGTAGTTATAGGAATGTACTTTATGAGATATCTCTTGAATTCTGACATTTTTTTCTTTATGATAATAAAGAAGGTTCTCAGAGCAACAGAAAAATCTTTGATTCTATACAAGCTGTACAGTATTAATATTTCATTGCTTGAAAGTAAGGAATTGGCATAGTTGCCCAGGTTTCTAAACTATCTGAACTCCTTTTCTTTATTTTATGTTTTCTTTTTGATAGATCTTAAGACTTAAAAAATTTATAGAAATAGCATTTTGTTCAAGTAGTAACACAAAAAAGTAATCCTAATAGACAATGCTTTATTTTCCTGGCTTCCCAAATAGAGAAAAGATCAACTAAACTTGGAAGGAAGATCTGAATCCATCTATGTATGCCATGATTCTGAGTCTGTGCTTATAACACAGATTCAGGAGATTGCTTAGGTAAAAATTTCCAGCAGTGAAAAAAAATCAGTTTATTAAAATAAATCAAACTACTAGTGTAACTCATGCTCTTGATGTCAACTAGTACTCCTTATTTGAGTAATATGATTAAATATTTCACCGTTTAGTAGTCATTTGTAATATAATTTTGTACTGAAGCACTAATCATTAATGTTCTTTACACTGACAATTAAACAATATTCTGGGGAATGTTTTTTTAAATGTTGTTCAAGTAGCACATGTTAAAACTCCCAGTTACAGTTTCAGGAAGATTAAATTTTACATGTATATTTGTCCGAGTCATGTTCAGTGATTTAGGGGGTACTGCATCCCAGGCTCTTTAAGCCAGAAGAGTCTTCCTCCAAATTGATGCTATGGTCTTACTATCTCAAACTAAAATGGACTCACAAAAAATGCACCCAATATTAATACCATTAATAAAAGAAACAGTTTAATGACACTGTTATCTACATAGAAATTAAATTGGGGGCCAGTCATTACCCAATATTAAACTGGGCATTACTAAATGAGTCCAGGAAATGGTTCTCATTTTTGTTAATTACTTAAGAGAACATTTTTGTAGCTCAGTGATCCTGACAGTAAATCTTGAAGGCTTCTCTGTACATTGCCCTGTACAACTCCTTTTTTTAACAATTGCTAATAGCTATGCTTTACTAAAACCCTGATAGTATATGATTTGTTGTATACAATAAGGAGCTTTGAACACTTCAGGTTTTTAAATGCTTGTCCTAAAGTTTACTTGATGTGGCCAATGTCCACCTTGTACTCAGCCCTTGGATGAGCTGTTCCACTACATGAGAACCCAAACCATCACCAATATAACCTCGCCAGACTCTCCATTTAATAAGTTACAGTTTCTCAATTCCCAACAGAACACATATTCTAGACATCTATTTACAGCTTGTGAAGCTCCCACCAAAATAACAACAACAACAACGTGTAAGTGTTCATTGGAAGAGAAAACCAAACAGCTTCAAGGCACCTTTAAGACTAGCAAATAAGACTAAGAAAAACAGGTTGGCCAAGATGATGCAAACTCATTCAACCCAGTTCTTAGTTTAAATGACTGAGCTGTTAGTTTTATAAGTAGGATGTTGTGGGGTTTTTTTTAAGCAGAGCATAATGAAATATAATGAAGATGATCTTCTTGAATTCTTCGCAGCCTGGGGTACCATCCCATATCATCAGCAAAAGTTTTGTAAATCTGCATCAAGGAGAATATCCTCATGCATCCAGAAACTACCTTTTAATGGACTACCCTTTGGTGTGATAACTTTGGTGTGACAACTTTGATGTGACTTTCTTAGCTTTGATTGTGAGTACACATGCAAAACAGCAAGTAAGAAGGCTTTAGTCTTGTTGCAATTTTGTTAAATATTTTTATTGCTTATTTCAGTGTCAACATTCCATAGAATGTCTTCCTTTTGAGGATAATTTCCAAGAGCATTCATTGTACCTTGAAATATAGATGAACATATTCCTATTGCATAATTTTCCTTGCAGGTCCCCTTATTCCTTGATTAATTGCACGGTCAGAATGAACAGAATCCTTTGTGCTACTTTATTTGTGTCTCCCTCATTTAATACTTCTGATGTCTTATTTCTATTTGAACATCCCTCTCTTTTCATCATAAAGGTATTGATAATGGCAATATTAATAGAGAAACCAATAATGAAATGAAAATCATGAACATCCTGAAAATTATTAAAAATCAAGAGAATTTTTTATCACATGATTATTTGTTCCTGCTCAGGCCTTTTGTCCTGTACAATCAGCTAAAGGACTCCAGATAAGTCTCAAGACTCATAAAATAAAACTCTAGTAAGCTCAGAGAAGTTCTCTTTCAAGTTTATACACTGAAATCATGTATTTTCCATGACCTCCTTTGGATACAGTCATATGTATCAACACAGTTTTGCTATGCTTCTGCATCCCTATCTTTTTAGACACCTGTCCTCTCCAAAGTTTATTCATATCTAATTCTCTAGATTAGAAACTTCCCCTATTACAAATTATAAATTCCCCTAGATTAGAGAAATTACCCTAGAGAAGTTCCCCTACTGTAAATTCCAATTCCAATGACTATCTTCTCATTTAGCACTAGATTACATAATTATAGTTTTGGGTGTCTTCTAAGTCCCCAAGAAACTCTAAGCCCGGGATTGTTTTATCTATTTTCTTTTTTTTATTCTTTTTTTTTTATTGTGAAAATACCGTACAGAGGGGTTACAATTACATGGGCAAGATAATGAGTACATTTCTTATCAAGCATTGTTGCCTCCTCCTTTGTTTCCCCTTCCCATCTCTTCCCATCTCCAACCCACCCTCCCCCCCCCACTTACCCACCCCCGGCCAAAGTTGTAAAGTTCATTTTTCGACATAACGACTTGTACATCTCATTGTTGCAATGGGTCCACCTGTATCCCTAGTTAAAGGATTTGTTTTTGCCCTTCCACTCCACAAATTATACCGACATCAAATACAGTGAAAGCAGGGGTTATACCGTGGGGGAGGGACATACAAAGCAACAAAGAAATCTTCTTATAAATATGTTAGAAAGGGAACAACAAAATGCTGAAAAAAGGACACAGGATTATCCATTGCAACAATGATACCCACAAGACAGTACCTTGGAATTCAACTTTACAACTTTGGAAGGGGTGGGGGGAAGGAGGGAGGGAGGGGGCTGAAGGAGGAAAGGAATCGTGGGAGAACAAGTGAAGAAAGATGTGTATGTATCCCCTTACTCATGTAACTGCAAACCCTCTGTACAGCATCTTTACAATACATTAATGTTTTAAAGGATGTAGTACAAACAGCTATATATCTTTAGCACCAATCATAATGCTGATCACAGTCTGTATGCTTGATAAATATCTCTTGACTAAAGTAACAAAATGCTATGTTTGCTTCTCTGTCCATACAGTAGAGTGAAAGCAGCCCATTCTAGAAAGAATAAGCCCTAAAGGCAAGCACAGCAATGGTACTTGGATATTGTAAGAGACAAGTCTATAAAAAGTAGCCAGAAGAGCTCAGAGTTCATCGGACACTAAAGGCAAATTGTCTTAATAGCCATTACACGTTAAGGTACTCTTGTAACAGTCCATAATAGCTCCATTATATTGCAGGATAATATATTAATTGAAGTCATAAGGAAGAGTTAGGCTTCGATCTGTGGTTAAGAGAAAAAGTAAAATTAGTGAATCACCTTTTCCAATGTTTGCATCTGGTGCATCTTCGTAAGATTTCCTATCTGAGGAAGAGCTTTCATTATTAAAGAAATTTACTCATTTGCACGTTTCATCCCACTTTCTAGCACCTTTTGATCCATGAAAAGTTTCCCAACCTCACAGTTACAGTAAATAACTTAGCACTGGAATGATCCTCTTCTGCTCTGTTTGATAACTGCATGAAAATTATTTTTAAACTCCCCTTTAAGCGCTTACATTAACAAAAGAATTAATGTTATATAATATTTTTCAAAACTCCTGCTAGAGTGAAAGATATTTTGAGTTGAATGTAAATGGAATTCTGCCTTCTGTGGCCTGGAGGGAGGGGTGTGGGGGGGGGCGGGGTAGGCAGGAGGAACAGCAAAAGAAGTTTCCACTTGAATTCTAAATTGAGGATGACCTTGTGCTGTTTTGAGAAGCGCTGGCAGCTGAGGTCGCAGGAGTGCATTGTGATAGACAGCACAGCCCTGGGTGTGACTCAGAGGCATGTCCGCTGTGTGGATTACAGCCAGGCCCAAAGAATGAGACAGCTCACAGCACTCTATCATTTCATTTGAAAATAATGGCCAAAGTCATGGGCAGCAGCCATTACAACTCAGATGAAAGAATAGCAGTATTCACTAATTCCATCACTTCAGACAGGCAGTTCCACGGTGCTCTGCTAAGTACTGAGAACCCAGCATATTCTGTATCAGTTTCTTGTCACCATGACTTAGCTCCTTTTCCCAGCCATCGAAGAAAAGCTCAAGGAAAGAAATGATTAGGAAAAAAATACAAGGAAAGATGACACAGAAACTAAACATTCATGGAGTACATAGAGCAACCCCCAAATCATCCATTTTCCTCCAAATCGGTTTCATATTTAAAAACCTCCAAATCGCTTTCAAAACAAAATATCTAATAACCCCTTCCCTAAAAATGTCAAGAATAAAACATATTCAAATAAATCTGAACTGTCGTCAATAGTTTTGAATGAGCCCTCTAAGTTATTTCTGAAACAGTCATATTTAAGCAGGATATTTTGATTGATAGGAGCTTATTTTTAACTTTGGCTCCTTTCAAGAGCAGATTAATGGTAGCACAAAAAAGTGTTTGAGATTTTAAAAGCAGGTGGTAAAACTCACACTTCTGATAAAAAAGAATATCTCCTAATTTTGTGGTTTCCAGTCTGCTTGAGTATCTTCTATATTCAGGGGGAAGGGTGAAGAACCCGCTGTCACTTCTCAAGTATTTGTACATACACACACACACACACACACACACACACACACACAAGTTGTAACTCACCATTAAAATTTACAGCCCTAATATAACCAAGTAGCTCTTTTCCATCGATGGTGCTCATTCGTGGACAGAGGCCAATGTATCCAGGGCAGAGATCTTTGTGCATGTTGTGTAGAGCATATGCCATGGAATATACTGCATCGATAACAAACTGGACCTTCCCTTCCTGTTCGTAAGATGAATCTCGTGCAATTCGTTCCAACCCTGCAAATAAGAAGGAGAACCATCAATTGGCAGTGCTAGCTTTCCATAAAAGATGGCTTGGGTGCTAGGATTTCCATCCTCTCAGACATACTTAGTAAGTCTCAACTATTTGATTTCACTTCTGATTGATTTAATCTTGTCTTTATTGCATTGGGTTGTTCCAAACTGGGTATCTGGATTCTTTATTTGGAAAGAGCAGGAGCTGTTTCATTAGCATTCAATATAAGATAATTAGATATAAAATAAATTAGGAAAATGTTTTATCATCTTTATTTCCAACTTACTGAGTACCAGCATATTGTACACCCTAGTAATTGCATAATATTTGGGCAGTGACTTGATCTTTTGAGTAAAATGTCATTCTTTTTATCTTCCTCAACTCTAAAAGCATCAGTTAATTAGAAGCCCAAAGTAAGGTCTCTTTGTGCCTTATCTGTGTTCTTTTCAATGATAGCCATTCTGTGACCATTATAAGACAATATTTGTTTAAGTGACCAAGGTTATCTTTTTAAAGAACCATGCTATTTATTTTCTCTTTGAATTCAATTTTCCAGATCTTTCAAAATAAATGTCATTCAGAGAAACAGTGTCAATGTTCAGGCATAGGTATGGCTAAAATTTGGTATTAAAGATGAAAGTAAGTCATTTAAATCTGCTCATGCATCTTAATTGTCTGTAATAATCTTTAAATATAACAATATTTGTTTCTGTCACAATAACACATAGCTCTGCTAAATTTAGACAGTCAAACCAAAATTATTGTTTTCTGTTTGAGCATTTATACTCTGGCAGTGCTAGTTACTTTCTTCAATGAATTCATTTTCATTCATCTAATTATTGGGCATATTTTCCTTCTGGTCTTAATCTCCTGTGACACTTTTCCTTTCCAGAATGGTTGACATTCTAGTTTCTGAATCTGTTGGGCCAAACTCTGCTCTGTCCTTTTCCATATACTTCCTTTTTTTGCATGTCTCAACTACTCATTGTCCAAACTCAAGCCTCTTCTGATGCTGTCAACTTTTAGTATGGCTAAAAATATACTTTGAATCCAAAGAAATATACACTAATTATAAACTCTCAAACAATAAATTGATTTATAGTAATCAAGTTCATTTATTTTGAAAATGGACTTTTGGAAAGTTCATTTTCTAAGCCTTACTTGTGACCTAATGGCCACACAATATTTACAATTAACTAACATATTTCTAGGTAGTCTCCTTTAATTTTTTTGTTGTTGTTTCTTGTTTTTAGTGCAAGTTCCATGGCTTGAATTCAGGGCTTGGGTTCTGTCCCTGAGCATTTTTGCTCCAGGCTAGAATTCTACCATTTGAGCCACAACTCCATTTCCAGCTTTTTGGTGGTTAATTGGAGAAAAAGTCTCACAGACTCTCCTGCCAGGGCTGGCTTTGAATCAGGAGCCTCAGATCTCAGCCTTTTTTAAAAAAATGTATTTTCTTGTAAAGATGCTGTATGGAGGGGTGACAGTTACATCAGTAAGGTAATGAGTACATTTCTTGTTGAGCATTCTTACTGCCTCCTTTTTCTCCTTCTATCCCTTCCTTCTCCACTTGCCCCATTGCTCCCCCTTCCAAAGTTGTAAAGTTCATTTCCATCATAGTGTCTTGTGTGTCTTATTGTTGCAATGAGCCATCCTGTGTCCTTGTTTCAGCGTTTTGTTATTCCCCTTCCCCTCTCCAAATCAGATAAATGTATATACAAGATGCAAAGTACCAAAATCAAATACAGTGACAACAGGGATATACATACAATAGGAGGAAGAAACTGACTAAGCCACAGGAAAACACATAGAGATCTCAGCCTTCTGAGTTACTAAGATTACAGGTGTGATCCACCGGTACCCAACTGGGAGTGTCCTTTCAAGTTATACTCAATACCCCAATTAGGCTATCATTGTAAGGAAAAATTACTTCCCTAAAAACCTTCTCCTGATGACTTTTCAGGTTTGAGAGCACAAGCAGATGGTAACTACCACCACTTGTCATAACGAGGATCTTCAAGGTTCCAGAAGTACATTTGGCCCCCTCCAGCTACCTCAGCTTTATGATCTAAGTGATAATTTGTACAGACATGAGAATGATATAACAGTGTCCCCTTTCCCACTTCTGAGTTGTCCAAAGACAGCACTTCTGTGCCCAGAATCCCAGTGAGTTACTATGAAAATAGTCCTCTCGGTTTCTCACCACCATTTGTCTCCCATACTTTTAACCACAAATAGACAATTCATAAATACTTTAGAAGTATTACAGCAACTAAAAAAGATTCAGTTGTTTCTTTGTGGATACTTATCTGGCTACCAACACCTCTGGTTAGATCAGGACTGAGAGGGGGGTTTTCAGGACATAACACCAAAAGCTGCACAGTCCTGGAACAAAAAGGTTGCTTATGAAATAAAAGGCAAGTGGCACCAGGCCCCATTGGCTCATGCCTGTAATCCTAGCTACTCAGGAGACTGACATCGGAGGATTACAGTTTAAAGCCAGCCTGGGCAGGAAAGTCCTTGAGACACTCTCTCCAATTAACAACCAAAAGCTGTAAGTGGAGCTGTAGCTCAAGTGGTTGAGTATTCGCTTTGAGTAAAAAAAAAAACAAAAACCTCAGGGACAGTGCCCAGGCCCTGAGTTCAAGCCTCAGGACTGGGGGGACAGAGGTTAGTGATAGAAATTTGGTGATAGAAAAGGGATTCAGTAAAACCACATTTAAGATTTATCCTTAGGAGAGAAGGGATAGTAGGAGAAAAGCAAAGGAGAGGATACCAATGTTCAACAAGAAATGGAGTCATTACCTTACTGATGTAACTGTAACCCCTCTGTACAGCATCTTTACAATAAAATCATTTTTTTAAAAAAAGATTTCTCCTTAGATGGATACCCTCTGTTTCATTGACTTCACTTTACTTAACTTGGTGATGAAAAATGCAATCTTAAAAGGTCCAGAGCATGTTCATGGGCTCAGTCATCTTCTTAAGTACAGATTCCTTGGTGTCACGCTGTATTGACTGTATCAGAACCTTTTGCCTTGGGAACCTGAACAATCTGTCACATCAAAAGCTAGTCCAAGAGATTATGATAAAACCATTCCAGTTTGTGAATACATTTTTGTAAATCATTACTCTATCCGATGTCTGAACATTTGAAAAATATCAATATAAAGACATAGAAGAAGTATCAAAGTAAGAAAAATTACTTTGTGGTATATGAAACTAAGAGAACCCCACCAAGGAGTAAAATAAAGCCTTGACTTCAGTTCCTTCACTAGGGGGTTTGTTAGTCCTGGTATCCCCCCTGGGCACCATAATAAAGTAAGGTATTTGCATATCACTACACTATTCACTTACTTATGTACTTATTTACTTTTTAAAGTTGGGGGGGGTCAGAGGGATGGGTGTAGAGGAAGGAAGGGAGGGAGAGAATGCAGTCATAATGGTTAATGTATATTTTATGAAACTAAAAAAATTGAGGGGAGGATATGGACAAGGGATAAAGATGAGAGGTGTGACATTGATAAAGATGCATTGTATTCATAAACTGCTTTGCTGAGTGGCAACTCCTGGTACAACTACTTAAAGACAGTACAAATACAATTAAAAAATAAAAGAATTAAATATTTCCTCTTACCACAGAAAACATGAAGAAAGTGGGGAAAAGGGAAGACAAGAAAGGGAAAGGCTCAGCCTAAAATTTAAAATCAGCATAGACTTTTTAAATAAGTCAGTGTCTCAAGTTCCATGTCAAGTTGTTTGTCTCTCTGTTGCACACACACACACACACACACACACACACACACACACACACACAAGTATACTACACCTATTCCAAGGATATTGTCATTTGTTAATCTGGTTTTGTTTCCTTTTGTGGACATTAAGGAAAAGGGAATATTTCCACACTTCCATTACTGCAGGATGAAGAATGCACAGCAAGCACAGAACTGGCAAGAGTATAAGCCAAATTGCTTCAATGAAACCAATGACCATGGGAATATTACAGCATTTGGAATTTCCCACCATCCATGGGACCCATGTAAGAGCTAGACACATGTGAACATTCTCTCTCTTTAAATATTCTAGATCCAAAATGTTCTGCATTTACTATATTATTTTATTGTAATGGCACTGTAACCTATCTGGCAATTTATGAAACTATTCCTCAGCATTTAAATGGAATATAGAACATATTTATATATAATACTTTCCTGCTATGTTGAAATAGAGGCGTGTGAGTGTAGTCTTCCTTGACTTTTCTTTAAAAAAAAAAAGGGAATCAATTTTTATCTAACAAATTCCAAGGTACTTCTTTTTCTGCCAGTCATGGGGCTTGAACTCAGAGTCTGGGCTCTGTCCTGGAGCTTTTGCAAAAGACTACACTCTACTACTTTGAGCCACAGCTCCACTTCCAGTTTTTGAGTGGTTAATTGAAGCTAAAAGTCGCACAGGGACTTTTCTGCCTGAGCTGGCTTCAAACCTCGATCCTTAGATCTCAGCCTCTTGAGTAGCTAGGATGATAGGCATGAGCCACCAGCACGCACAAGTTCTCTTATATAACATACCACATTACTGAGTGTCTTAATTAAATTTTACTATTTACCTATTTCCTAGTATAGGGATAAAACTACTAATCAGTTTGAATGAATATTAAATACAACCAAGTATGTGCAGTTTTCTTTATAACTTTTAAAATAAAAATCTATCCAGTGACTGGTCTTCACATTTGAATCAATAGCCATTAAAAGACATTTTCTGTAAGTTGTAACAATATAGTCACAAGCAGAAGCATGGAAAACTATTCCTAAATCAAAAAGACCGGTTCTCTCAGGTTGCTTAGATCATGCATTGTTTGTTTGCTAACATTTGACTCTCATGATGACACATGAATGGCAGCTACTAGAGTTGACTTGGCTCTTCTCTTCCTCTGTCCTCTCCCATTCATCTATAAGAGGAGTTTAGGAAGCTGACAGTGACTAGTCAAATTAATTAGCTGCAA